TCGTTGAAATGGAACTGTTCGTGCGTTCAACGTCAAACATCAAGTACAACGCGGATTTTCTAGCGACCTGATTTCCCTTGAATAAATTAGGTAATTAGGTACCATAAGGCGTGGTAAGTTAGATACCATAACCGAGGGTTGTTTACTTCTAACGGTGGTACCGGTACCATATTGCCAAGTTTTACATTCGTCTCCATGTCGGAGTACGCTTTGGCTAGACTTATGTCACGCGAAAACGGCAGGTCCAAGCGCCATTCGTCTCATCTCAAGAGCTATATTAGGCACTTCCGACCTCAGAGGTAGACGTACGATAAAGCACCCGTCTTTGTCATGAGAGTGTGTTTCAGCAAACATTTTCTCGGAAGCTTCGTTGTTGAGGCTTAAAACGCACGCAGTGGGAAGAACCACCTTGATTTTACAAAATCGCTCGATAGCCTCGTTGAAATCGTTGTAAAAAGCGCAGCAAAAAGCGGTTACGGAGATATCATGAGTAGCTACTGTCCGTCATGAGATAGTGTTTGGAACTGAACCTGAAATGACCTATCCGAAGACTGTACTCTGAACAACTAGCGAAGTTGACGGGAAGATTTTGAGGCCCGAGCTCAGTAACTAGCCGTACAAGTCTGCGCCAATCATTATATCTACACGATCCGATACATGAAAGTCTGGATCAGCAATAGGCAAGTTTTTGAAAGGCCCGCGATCAAGCTCAAGAAGATTGCGTGCTGGCAACCTTTCAATCAAACGCAGCCGGACAACGGCATTCACCTCAAATTCAAACCCAGCTCTTCACGTGTGAGCACAGGGTAAAGCTCGTTGGCATGTTGACAACGCCAGCCCTACAACCACGGACTCAGGCTTGTGCGCACACGCTCGCGTGAAAGTTCCAACAGTTGGACTAATACGTCGGATACAAAAGATACTTCAGAGCCTTAGTCTAAGAGAACTTGAGCACGAGTTTACTTACCGATAGAGCTGACCACGTTTACTTGCGCCGTCGCAAGGAGAATGGGGAATGGGATTGTCGATGAGCTCTCATTGCACCAGTTGATCGAGAGCGTGGGGGCGACCGTTACTTGCACGACGTTAGATCGAACTGATCATGGACACGATGTCTGAATCTAAAGGATATGGGGTGCCAAAGTCAGTTTGACCAATTAGACATTTCAAATTAACACTCTAAGTACAAAATTTATACCGAAACATTCATAAATTTCTTCCTGAGAAACGAAGAACGTTACTAAAAAAGTTTTTAGAATTGACCAAAGAATACATCTGAATTTTTTCGAGAAATTACCATCAACTTTTTCGATTTTGCAAATTCTAAATTTATTATAAATTACAAAAACCTCACGAATCGCTTCGAAAAAAATTTAGATATACACCTTGGCCAATCCTAAACACTTTTACTTCTTAGTAATTTTTTCGTAAAGTGTTTTTTATTTTCGACAAAAAAATTCTTAGTGATCACTTCTTTATTACATCCGATTATAAGATTTTGAACATTTTTTCATGGAATTACAACATAAGCGTTAATAGTACGCACAACTTTACATCTAACGAACTCGTTTTTGGCTTTTCAACTAGAGTACCGCCCAACGTGCTTTGGAAAAATCAGAAACATTATCTATATACAGAGGATTTTTGAAAATTTAATAAAAAACATGATTGAAATATCTTAAATAGATAGATCTGCAGACCAAGTATTAAAACACACCGCGAGTATATCTCTTGTTTCTGAATTCGAATGTGTGCGTGGAATCTGTAGGTACTGGGTACGCGTGTACCAAAACCGTTACAAACCCTATTACAGTCGGTTCCTATACTGATTTTCCATTATCCATTGATAAAAATGGAGCTTTTATTCAGATTAAAAAATAATGGCAATAAATTTCAAGTAGGCCTTTCCGTATACATTGCATTCTATTAAACAGAACAATAATCGTGTTTCAACGTATATTGAACATGAAAGGAAGTAAAATTCTAATAGTATAAAGTAGATCTGAGACAACGCGTTATATTTGAGAAATAAAATAATGTGTATATCAACGTGTATTTTTTAATTTAAAGAATAAGATGTATAAAAATTTGCTGAGAAGAAGAAAAAACGTGTCCATCGAGTTCTTGTGGAAAATTATTTCGTCAATATAATATTAAAGAAAACCAAGTTAAAAATTCTAATATATCTCATAAAACTAACTATGTTAGCATCAAATAATTTTTAGGATTGATTAGTCATCAGTTAATATCTTGGAATGTCAAGCCACATTCATGCAATCACTATTTACAATACCTTCGAAATGAAGAAAAATTAAAACTTTAAAAAGTTGAGTGTACAAATATAAATAAATAAAAATTTATCCTGCCCAGTAAGAAAAAAAAATTTTAGAATATAAAATTTCAAGCATGAGTGTCTCGTATCATACTTTGTTTATGCTGACTTTCAAGAATTTTAGAACCTATCACTGACAATATATGTGTATCACAAACCGATTAATGTTAGCCTTTTCGTAAATTGTCATTACAATAACAATTTATTCTATTATAAAAGCTATAGGCAAGTAACCACTAACGATGTTAGAGCAGCTTTTTGGTTTGTATATCAATTATATGCATTAGCTAAATAACTACAGAAGTTGTATAACAATATATTATAAATTAAATCATTGTCTCTTAAAAAACTGTATCATACATGATACTACGATGTATCATACGAGGGGTATTCAAAAAGTACGGTGACTTTTTAAGACTTTTTAATTTTCGTGGGCTACGTACATTTAAGTTTTGAATTTTTGTTGTTTTTGTTTTGGCACACTCGCCACAGTCATATATTCATAGTTTTGACTATATAGCACGTGTTGTTTTACTGGTAGGGGCGTCAGAGGTTAGAAGTGTTTAGTGGGCTTGGGGATTTTGTTCTATCGAAAAGAATGGACCAAAGAGTGAAATGTTGACAACTGCGTACGGTGAGTTTACTCTGAGTAGGAAAAATGTATATAAGTGGTTTAAACTGTTCCAAGAAAGCCAAGAGAATGTCGAAGACGAGCCTTGCCCTAAACGTGCCAACACATCAACAACAGATGAAAACGTTGAAGCAGTGAAAGAAATTGTGTCAAAAAATCGTCGAATCACCATCAGCGAAGTTGCAAAAGGTCTTGGCATGTCGGTTGGCTCATGCCATGATATTCTTTGGATGTTTTGGATATGAGACGTGTGTCAGCGAAATTCGTAACAAAATTGCTTAATTTTGATCGAAAGAACAGTCGCATGACCATCGCTCAGATGTTGAATAAAGTCAATGAAGATCCTGATTTTCTGAAAAGGGTTATAACTAGTAATGAATCGTTGGTATATGGTTATGATGTCGAAACTAAAGTCCAATCGTCCCAATGGAAGACCCCAAAAGAGCCAATACCCAAAAAAGCACGCTAAGTTCGATCAAATGACAAGGTTTTGCTCACTGTCTTCTTCGATTGCCGTGGCGTAGTTAATCGGAAATTCTTACTACAATATCGTACGGTAAATAAGCAGTATAACCTTGAATTTATGTATCGTTTGTGAGAGGCAATACGCAAAAAACGTCTGGAACTTTGGAAAAACAATTCGTGGATTTTGCATCACAATAATGCACCTGCTTATTTATCATTGCTTGTAAGAGATGTTTTGGCCAAAACCAACACCACAGTCATGCCTCAGACTCCATATTCACTGGATTTGGCTTCCAGTGACTTTTTCCTTTTCCTAAAACTTAAGAAATCTATAAAAGGACATCGATTTTCAACGATGGAGAAGATAAAAACTGCATCGCTGAAAGAACTCAAGGCTATACTTCAAAATGATTATCAAACGTGCTTTAATGATCGGAAAAAGCGCTGGTACAAGTGTATTATATCTAACAGAGATTATTTTGGAAGGGACAATATAAATACTGACCAATAAATAAATATTTGTTTAGAAAACCATAAAGTTATCTTACTTTTTGAACACCCCTCGTATATTAAGAAGACTTTCAACGGGATAAAATATTGCATATTAAGAATCAAGAACAATACCTATATTTGATTGTTTTCGATTTTTGATATGCAATATTTTATAATATATAATAGTAATATATAATTCTACGCCATATTTTGATGTGATAGTAGAGCGTTAAAAATAAAAACGAAAAGTATTTTTAACAAAGAAAAATTTTTTTATCTCTTATTGGAGAAAGGCTGGTTTAAAAAAAAACTGTTTTATTTTTTATTGAATTTTAACGCTGCTTGTAATAAAAACTTCAGAAAATAAAAAAAATTTTTTAATTTTTTTACAATATTATGGGCATTAAAGAACAAAAAAGTGATCCTTTAATTTTTTCGAAAATTTAATCAAATAAAACAAAGAAACGGCTTGATGGATTTAATTTGAACTGTGGGAGGTTCTTGGGGATTTATTGAACTATAAAAGGCATACTCAACGTTACTGGTTTTCATAATAGTGTTCGCTAGGTTTCCTTTATACTTGGTCCGGTATTAAAAATCGGTGAGGTACACGTAAGGTAATTTCCTCGTTAGATTTAAAAATCTTCTATTTGCTTTTTTCTAATGTTTGATACGATCATTTTTAACGGAGATACAAGCATTTAAAAAATCACTAAAAATTTAGATTTTACTAACCTGAACGCAAGATTATACTTGATTGATAATAATTATTAGCGACTTTATTAGATATCTAATGTATGATAGGAATAATGATGAGCTATTGTCTTTTTTATTAAATACTGCCCTTATTCTATAATTTGATAATATCAAATTGTAAATTATAATGATATTATATTTCACACTTTAGATAAAGATAAATCTCATATAAAATATATTTTTTAAAATAGATTATAAAAGAAGCGAATGAATTAACTGGGAGTAATGAACAATATCACATAAAATCTACTTATATAATAATTTTTTTTTGGGAAAACAAATAAAATTATAAATTTTCTATTGGAAATAATTCAAAGTACTAACATTGTCTTCTGAAAGTTTGATTGTAGCATAACACCATTTTCGAAATGTCCATGTACCTATTCCAAAACAAAGTACTATAACGCAGACGACGCATACCAGCATTAAATTTAATTTTGTATTTTGATCTGGTGGAGATATGCTTGATCCTACTTCAAAGTGAAATTTAGAATCTTCGGTGCTCATAGTTGCTACTATTTGGTCATCTGAGTATATTCTTCTTAACTTATTCGGGTTTAAATTCATAAATCCTGTTTTTAACTTTAACCTTAATAATTGCTGTGATTGCATATCAGGATGAATAATTGAAGGTAATCTTATGATAGGAGGTCGAAGTAAGTCTATGCTTGGATGACTCATTAAAGATGACCTGAACAAATAAAAACGACAAATTATATAGAATAAATAGTACGAATAAAGTATGATAATTTTAATTTATGTGAATTTTATATTGTCATATTAGTCCCCCCGCCTCCTCCCACAGATCTTGTAACGGTCGGCGATAGCAATACGAGATTAACATTCAAATATGTGTTGTTATACTGCGTAGATGGGAATGGGTTGAAAGATAGTGAGAGAGAGAGAGACAGAGAAAGAGACAGAGAGAACATAGCATCAATACAATGATTGACTCGGAAAATCGCACATACGGATTGACTATTGGCGCATCGCTATGATAGGAGTAGAAAGAATCCGATAGAAAATAGGAGTGTCAAAAAGATAAGTGGAGGTACATCGATGGTGAGAGCTATGGTCACTGATCCTGAAGCTGCGATCGAGAGAGATTAGAAACTCCAACGTCAGCAAAAGTCAATCTTTTTTCCACATGACAAAAAGTTCGTCCATATTCGGATTTTGGAGTAGCCATTTCGTTTTTTATGTTATGACGTAGAGTCATTAGGTTGCAACATTTTGCACCAAAGCAGTAATTGGCTTCATAACTTAAATTACTTAACGATTGAAAACTATAATTTTTTACATAAAAATCTGGAGAATGGTTATTGAAAACTTATTCTTTTGTATATATTTGTTAACGGACCATATAATAAAACCGTTTCTTTATATTAGTGGCTATGATATTTAATATACTTTCAATCGATGTGTATATATATATTGAATCTAATAGTACTGTCAGATAACGTGATATATAATCCGAATCATTATAGTAAATTAAAGAAAATGATGAAATCTATTTTGTATAGGTAAATAGATTTATCGCACTTAATGGTGACTAGTGTCGTAAAGTATAGAATGTTCTGAACTAAATTTTTTTCATGCAAGTAAATTACTTTGTACTCACATTAATTTAACATTGAAAAATTACAATTATTATTATTGGAGCAGGAGATGGTTCATTAGAAATAAACATTATTCGTAATAAATAACATGGATATTTTGTGAATCTAGATTGTTGTCCTAATATCATGGATAAAATTTCCAAATCTCCACGTATTTGCCAATTATGTTCTTTATATTTTATTTTTGTCAAAACCAATTCTAGATTTGACTACTCTTCTTTGAACGTGGTAGAATGTGCTAACGGTATAGAAGCATACTTGTTTGTATTGTAAAGAAGTACTGCTTTAAGGCTGCACTGTGATGAATCAATGAACAGTCGCGAATCCTCAGATTTATACACTTCTGACTTTAATTCATCGATCAGTTCTTTTACGTCAGTGCAATAAACTAGATCTACACTTACATAAAAATACTTCTGATTATACGTCATCAAGCGAAAAGTATGATCTACAGGGCTCGTGCGAAATCCTCTTCCGACAAGAGGACGCAGACGGAAGATCAGTTGATGCCGTTTAGCTCACACACGTGCATAATAACAGCCCCGAGACCTCGCGAAAATACTTCTCAGGACTCGCCCAATTGATGCGCACCACCCTTACACTCCCGCACATACACCTTCATACACAGGAACCCGGACCGACACTCCCCCAGGAAGCTAGGCGACGAGGAAGTTAAGAGCTGATCATGCTGGCTAACGTCGCAAGGAGAGCACTGTACACATGCACTAACACTGCTGGCCACCTAATTAGCACACCCGAAGGACTGTCCAAAGCACACACATACACTCGTTATTTATATTATATCATAATTTATATTGTATCACTTATTACTTATATTATAGTTCGTACTCTCGTGGTCTGTCGCGTTAATGAATAAGAATTCGTTTTTTTCAATATGATTCTAATTATTACTATGAAATAAAGTAATAAATAATATATATGATTATATAAGTGAGATTTCAAGGAAAAGATAGACTTTATCCTAGTTTCTTATGGTGCGAATTGTCCCATAAGCAGAGCTTAAATTTTTTTTATAAAGGATGTAATTCAGCCCAAGTTTCTCATAATGCGAAGTGTTCTATGAGTCGAGCACGGATTACAATGAGAAAAGAGAGGATTTGCTCCATTAATCACTATAAGAGAAAGAACTTACGTATTAGCCAAGTTTATTCAATTTCATGCGCTCACTTTACAAGGTTAGGAGTGATGCTAGCCTGTGCAAAATACAGCGTATTTATACAAAGATTTTCTCGCCTATTTTCGCAGGACAACTCTCTTCAAGTTGTTTACGCAATTTTGAGAAATGAATTTACAAGTGAATAAACTGTAATAATGAATTTTTAAAACAAATGATGTGACCGATCTTGGGCTGACCTGGGGAAACCGACCATAACTTGCCTAATAAATAATTAATTTTCGTGAACTCTGAGTTGTCATTGATTTAACTTTGTGCCTTGAGACTCCGTATTCCCCCGAAGCCAACGCGATCGGATTACGTCGACGCTTTGACGCCATTTTGTGTGCCCGTGAGATCGACCCTCTCACTACTCTTCACAGCTAGTGTATGCGTTGTTTCATACTTTTCCGATTTGAGGGTGGTATAGCGTAATCAAGACATTGCCACCCCTCTCTCTGGGCGCCAATAAGTTGGCATAGCCCACTGTCTTTCACCCCTTCGCTTTCAAATATATTGGGGATCCGGAAGTCAAGTTTGCTACGACATCCCTGGCGCGACTCAGCGAGTCGGAACCTTTTTAATCTAAGGCGGCGACCTCCTCGGAAGGAGTACCGATCTTTTCACGGTTCGACGCTCAAGGAGAGCGGAACTAAAGGCTTGACCCTCGGTTTGGGCGCGACGGGACTCTAGTTACCCCAACGTCTACTGCGTCGGAAGCACGCAGCATACAAATCTTACGAGATTTGCTTGACCTGGTACCACTACCCCGCAGAGGCCAACCCAAATTGGGATGTCAGAGGAGAGACTCAGCCAGGACAGCCAGAGGAAGATTCCTTAGACGATCAACCAACTAAGCCTCCCTCCTGGGCTCGCGTTCAAAATACATCCCACCCTGCGTTCCTGTATTAAGGGATTTCTCCCACGACTCACAGGTCCATCGCTTCGACGTGCCGGGGCATGTCTCCCCATTGCGTTTTGGTCAAACCCGCTCACGCTGGTGGGTATCCGTCATTCGAAAGGTTGTTTTTACCCCGTTCCGTCCCAAAGTCAGATCTTTCAAAACTCTGTCGTTGGGTCAAAAACGGGGTTCATCGCGTTCAAGTTCGACATTTTTTATCGTGGTCGCTATCCACGGCCTTTATTGCTTGGCAAGCTTAGCCAGAGCCGCCTTTTGGCCACCCTTCTGGGTGTTCACCGCGTCACCCCGTTGAGGCGGAGCAGTTGGCTCTTGTGAGATCTGCCGTTCAAAAAGACCTCGCTTTAAAACGCGGACTACTCTTCACAGATTGCTGACATGACGGCGCCCTGAGATGCCGCTCCGCGGTCGTGCTTCTGAAAAGAGCCCCTCCCCCGACATTTTGATTAGCCGCCGCCCGTATTTTCCTTCGTATATTAGATAGGCTTTTGCGCTCCCACTTTAATTTGTAAGTGGCCAGCGAGGCTAGTACGAGGAGAAAAGATCAGCGACCTGACCTTCATCGACTAGAACCAGCCGATTCGCAGAGCTACACGTCCTCGTAACGCGAGAACGATAGCAGGCGCCCGACAAATTTTAGCTGCAACGATTGGCTGACTGCGCCGCTGGTGGCGGTTGATGCCGGAAGAAATAAAATTATTTTTCCCCTGTCACATACTTACGAAACTTTCTCTCTCGATTACGGTATGTACTTACTTTAGTATCCTTTGTCACCATATTTCTCCTCTTTAAGTCTGAAACCCATAACTCCGATTGTTTTTTGGTTAAACCAATCTTTCTAATTCATTAAATAATTGAGACTTTTCTCAAATATACCCTTGATTCTTTTTGAGCTTTTCATAAATACATTGTTTACAAACTTTATTATGGTCTATTATTGTTGAACAAAATATTTAATCGCTTTTATCTTTTCGTTCTTTCTATTTTGGAGGAGTTGTAAAATTTGCTTAATGCTAAATAATATGCTAGCTTTTTTTCATGACTGATGCTCAAGTTTGGGTGTAAATAGCCCAACTACAATTTTTACTTGCATTTGAGATCCTTCATCTCAAGCAAGTATTAGTACTCTTAAGTGCTATTTACAAAAATCTGCTACTGCGAAATATGTTGGCCACGATGACAACTGCCCTGAAAATGGGATGTGTAGGATAATTCGTTTGGTCCAACTATTCATAGTAGCGAAACCAACGAAGACACGCTGTCTTGTAGGGGAGCGTTAGGATGTAGGATGATGACGTAGTGTGTCTGAGAATCAGTTGACATTGTTCTCGTCAAAGTCAGAAAGCTCTCATACTTAGGCCTGGGGAGGTATGGGAGGTATCACACCTGAGACAGCGGACTCACCTGCGATCGGAACAGGGTTCCTAGCGTGTGGGGTTTACATTCAATTTATGGCGCATTTCGACCTTCAACCTTCAATAAACTCTGCTGGCACGTACGATAACCGATTTAGTCATAAATTTGTAGAAAATTCGAATAACTTCTGTTATGAATGTTCTTTATATGTCGAGATGAAAAGCAGAAGAAAAATTACAAAGTCAATAAGCCATTTATATAAGATGTGCTTTGACGTGACATTTTACAACAAGACAAAACCTGGGCCTCTCACATTGTATGTGGCTCATGTTACACAATGATGAATCGAGTCAGTTCAAATCAGTACAGGGCCAAATTAAAGTTTACGACACCTACAAAGTGGAAAAAACCAGAAGATGAAAGCGATTGTTATTTTTGTTTAACAATAATAGAACGCATAAGTAAAATTAAGAAAGAAAGTATAGTTTATCCTAGCGTTTAGAGCGTTGATTTTCTACAAAAAGTATTTGTAGAAGTATTTGAGAATGAAGAATCTCGGGATAGTTTTACAACAGGTTTGGGCACTCTAAATATAGATGACGATTTGACAAATCAAATTAACGAACAAGAAACTGACAACAATGATAACGCAGCAGATGAGGAGGATTCTTACAAATCCGATGAAAGTGAAGAAAATCTTTCTCAAAACAATGATGAAGAGTATTTTCCTATTGGTAGAGAGTAACTGTTGGAAAATATGATCAGAAAAGTCTCAACGATTTAATTAGAAAGATTGGTCTAACCAAAGAACAATCAGAGTTATGAGCTTCAAACTTAAAGAGGAGAAACATGGTGACAAAGGGTAAAGTAAGTGCATAACGTAACTGAGAGGAAAAGTTTCGTAAGTATTTTAATGAAGATTCAGATCTAATTTACTGCACTGATGTAAAAGGACTCATTAATGAATTAAAGTCAGAAATGTACAAACCTGAGGATTCGCGACTGTTCCTTAATTCATCACAGCGCAGCCTTAAAGCAATGCTTCTTATCAATACGAACAAGTATGCTTCTATATTGTAACGGTCCTATTTATGAAATATTTATTAAATCACTGAATTACTGCAACTAGTCTAACGTATCTATCTGTTTATTCAAATCAATACATTAACCCGTTAAGGCCGAGAACGCCCCTCCTGGTACACCGCTCTTTCGACTATCATAACTCGTACAATTCCACGTATAAAAAATTGAAAGATACACTATTTCAAAGCTTAAGATCTCCCCTTTCCAACGGTGTGCCGAAACATGCGATAAAAAAATGTTAACTATGTGAAAATATTGTTTAAATAAAAAAAACACGATTTTTTCATAATTTTTTTTTATAAAATCAAATTTTCAGAATGGATCTCGGTTTGCAATCCACTTGGAACCTCAATAACTGGTGGCATAATTGTCTAAGCTTTCATAATATATATTTCCGAGATCGTTTTTTTATCTCAGTATCATTAAAATGGCGCTTCAATGACGGAATTTTCGTTCAGACATTCATGAATTTTTTTCTTGAAAAGTATGGACTTTTCGAAAAAGTCAAACAGAAGAAAAAGTTCTTAAAATCACTCGTATAATACATCAGAATTTTTTCGAAAAGTTTGGAGCAATTTTTTGAATTTTGCAAATTGTCAAATTTTGAACATTTTCAAAATTGACCGTAATTTTTTGAAAAAATTCGAGTGCATTCTTTGCTCAGTTTTGAAAACTTTTTATTCCTGGTAAATTTTCATATGAGTTCATTGCTTTTAAGAAAAAAATTCACAAGTGTCAAAGTAATTGCCCAATACGTAAGTCATTAAAATCCACTCTTTGATCGCCTGTCCGCCGCAAACAGAGTTTGCGTTGCCTAACTATCACCAACGAGGAGGTCGAAAAATATAGATAGTTTTTTTTTTTTTTTTTTTTTTTTTTTCATATCTTAGTTATTTTTTTTTTTATTTTTAATTTTTTTTTATTGATGAATTTTTCTGGAATCGATAATTCATTTCGCTACCTTTCCTGCGTGTAATTTTGAAAAACATTCGATACAGTAATATTCTTTGCAATCAATGCAGTATCTGGTAGTCCTTACACAACATCCTTCGCTATTACATTTGTTTCTTGTTCTAGTATCGTGCCTGTGAGATTTGAGATCACATATTTTCGATTGCGCCAAATACTTTCTACTCACTTCTTTACACATTTCTTGCGTTTTCATTATTTTTCTATCCTTTCTGCAAAGATTGCTTATTGTTACAGCGTTTGTTATTGACATTTCAATAATTCGTGAGAAAATTTTGAATGGCCACTTCTTTGAACTGACACTTGGAGAAGCTTTCTTGCATCGAAAATCGTGCAAATCCACTCCTCCCATGTACTTGTTATACGAAGAAAAATCACAAGGGAATTCCAATTTTGATCTTTTCTTAGCAGTTCTTGAATATCTTTCCATTGGCTCCAAGGAAGTGACGCCAGATGCCGTAGAAAGAATAGAAACTTCTTTTGAGTCAATTACACTGATGAGATTCATTTCACTGTTACGATCATAACTCGCTTGGTTCGTTCCTCGTGGTGCTTTTTTTTCAAAATCATGTTTTTGTTTCACTCTATCTTTACGAACAGTTCCTGTAGATCGTAAGCCACATTTGTTCAAGTGAACGACTAAATCAGGACTAGTGAAATAGTTATCAAAATAGACATGATAGTCAGACAATTTTCTTTTTGAAAGGCTATGTAGAAGTGGATTAATCATTTGTAATACAACTCTGGAGCCAAGTGGACATGCGGATAAATTTATCCCAATGCTTGTATCGTTCTTACCACAATAAATATCAACGTTGAATATATATCCATATGCTCCGCACAAGGCCCAGAGTTTGATCCTGTATCGGTCAGGTTTAGAAGGCAAATATTGCCTCAGATACGTGCGACCAAAAAATCTAACCATCATTTCGTCAATGGAAAGAGCAGTTGAAAAATATCCAAATTGTTTAATATTGGTCCTAAACAATTCCAAAATATGACGGACTTTCCAAGCTTTATGATTATCATTTTTGTCAGTAGGTTTTGAATATTTTATTTTAGATTTTATTTCACTAAACCGATCGCGCGTCATCGCTGATGAAAATGCAGAGCAGTTTTCGAGAGGGTCGGTTTCCCAATACTCTCTTTGATTCTTTCGAATATTGTAAGATGATAATAATAATATTCCTATGAATGTGTTGAGTTCTTTTGTAGATAATTTCAAATCATTTTCTTCACTGGCTTGAATAATATAATTTTTTATTTCTTCAGAGAAAAAGATTTCGAACAGTTCCACGTGTGACATTGAAGATATTTTCTGCTTTACGGAATCAGGCAATAACAATTGATCTTTTAAATCTACAGAGTAAACTTTTTCTCCTTTACACCACGAAAAAGTACTATATGATTTGGCTCTAACAGGTTTTGTTTTTCTGTATAACTTTCAAAAACAGATCGATATGAGACATTTGGTACATGAATTTCCGATTCAGAATTATCTTCATCAGATAGTTCTGATTCAGAATTGTCAGTATCTGACGAACTATCACCATCAGTGCCAGAGTCATCCGGATTAGGTATACAAATATGCTGTTTATTTTCATTCGAATCTGACTCTTCATCAGTCAATTCACAGTAACTCCTTTTCGCGGCTCTCCTTTTCGACATTTTTCCCAACCTACTGAAATAACTTCAGTGGAACGTCTTGTTGGTAGGAAGCCTGTAGCAACCAGCTGTATTATTCGGGCCGATTTACGGATTTTTGCTTCAATTGATGATAGTCAATAATACTCAATGACTTGCAAGATTCAAAATTCAATGTATTTCATGAATCATTCCAATGCGATGAATTTTGCTAAAATTGGATTTTCAGGCCACCTATGAACGAATGATGGGCTTCTGCGACACGATCGGCTATTCAGGATTTCGCTCCGATATAGATTGCAGTTATAAGTAGATAGTTTATTTTGTTATTTTCATCACCAAATTAGGTTTTTCTAAAAACATATTTCTTTTCATATCTTTTTTCACCAGTACAAGCTCACACACTAATTGCAGCATGGATACCTCGGACTATACATACTGTGCAATTATTTTAACACTTGTGAATTTTTTTCTTAAAAGCAATGAACTCATATGAAAATTTACCAGGAATAAAAAGTTTTCAAAACTGAGCAAAGAATGCACTCGAATTTTTTCAAAAAATTGCGGTCAATTTTGAAAATGTTCAAAATTTGACAATTTGCAAAATTCAAAAAATTGCTCCAAACTTTTCGAAAAAATTCTGATGTATTATACGAGTGATTTTAAGAACTTTTTCTTCTCTTTGACTTTTTCGAAAAGTCCATACTTTTCAAGGAAAAAATTCATGAATGTCTGAACGAAAATTCCGTCATTGAAGCGCCATTTTGATGATACTGAGATAAAAAAACGATCTCGGAAATATATATTATGAAAGCTTAGACATTTATGCCACCAGTTATTGAGGGGCGTTCTCGGCCTTAACGGGTTAAGCGGCGCTACCTCACTGTTTACGCGATTGTATACAAATAAGAGTCGGATCAAAATAAACAGCGTGACGTCACAAAGTAATAGACATAGATATAATGATTTAGGATATTAAGAAAAATATGTTAATTAGAGATAATTTTAATATAACAAAGTATTGATTATATAGATTTTAGCATGTAGATTCATAATATTATAACAAAAATCACATTTAATTATGAAATAAAAATGAATATCAATATGCAAAGTTGATTTATTTATTACGTTAACATATGAAATATTAGAAAAATGTAAATAATTCAGATGCAAAGTGAATAAGCATAGAACATGAGTAAGAATTGGTTTCATTAATCACAGCTGAATAATAACTGTTATTAGTAAATAAACAATTAATAATTGATTTAAACAATAAGCTATATATAGAACGAAAATATTAAGTTTATACTTGATAAAGATAACTTTATGATTTAGAAATCTTAGATAATTAATCTAATAATTGCATAATAAGATTAGAAAAAACCGTTACAAATATGAAAAATTAGTCATAATTCAAATGTTATTAATTAATTTAAATAATTAATTTTGGAGAATACTTACAAAATTAATCAACTATAAAGTTATATAAAAATTTAAGAATTTTCTATTGTAAATATTGTAATATCACGTTAATTAACTTTATTAGTTAATAACTTTTGACGACACTATTGACGATAATTGTATATTGTATAAAATCAACAAATAACAAATTCTGTAAAGTTTACATGTGTTAAAAACTTAATATTAATGGTTATTTACTTGTAAATTAAGAAAACTCATTTCTCAAAATTCGCGAATGTCTCTCGAATTTTCGATGACATCTCTCCTGCAAAAATAAGTGGGAAAATCTGTGTATAAATAGGCCCACCTCTGCACAGGCTAGCATTCACTTCTAGCCTTGCAAGGTGAGCGCATGAGTCTGAATAAACTTGGATTATACCTAAGTTCTTTCTCTCATTGTGATTAACTAAGCAAGACTGTCCCTTCCTTATAATTTGAGCTCGACTTATAGAACATCTCGCGCTATAAGAAACTTGGGCCGAATTATATCCTATCAAAGAAAGACTTTAGCTCTGCTTATGGGACAATTCGCACCATAAGAAACTAGGGCATTGTCTGACTTTCCTTGAAACATTATATTTATTTATGTATATTCGATTTACTTATTAATTGCATTTGATTTACTTATCTATTTTATTGACAATTAGAGTAAAATCATTGGAAACAAATTCTTACTCATTAGCTAGATTACGAGAGTTCGAATTATTTATAAGTGATACGAACATCACAATATCGTTAGCACATTCTACTACGCTCAAAGTTGAGTATTTAAAAGATTATTTAATATAAAATACAAAAAACATAATTGCCAAATATGTGGAGACTTGAAAATTTTATCCATGATATTAGGACAACAATCTAGATTCACAAAATATTCATATTATTTGTATATCTTCAATAGTAGAAACAGAACAAATCACTATAAAAACAGAATAGGCCACCAAGAGAGTCATTTGAGCCTGAAAAACAGAATATTCTTAAAGAACATCTAATGAAACCGTCCAAAATTGTAATACTTTCTCTGCATATAAAGCTTGGATTAATGAAACAGATAGTTAAGGCATTGGACAAAAACGGCCAATGTTTTAAATACTTAGAAAAAGTGTTTCGTAATAAATCAGGTGCTAAATTAAAATAAGACATCTTTGACGGTTCTGAAGTCCCTACTTTATTTAGAGATGAAAACTTTGGCACAACTATGAATGAATCGGAGAAATCAGCATGATCAATCTTTAAAGAGATGTCTACAAAATTTTTGGATAACACAAAAAACGTAGATTACATAAATATTATCAAAATAATGTTACGTAATCACTAGAAATCAGGCTGTCTAATGAACTTAAAACTTTATTTTCTTGATTCTCATATTAATCAATTTCATGAAAATAACGGTGATTTCATTAAGAGCAAGCTGAAAAGTTTCATCAAGACTTAAAAGAATTTGAACGTAGAGTTCAAGCATGGTGGAGTATAAATATGTTGGCAAGTTACTGCTAGATGATAAAAAGAGAGACAACATCGAGAAGGGAACAAAAACGTACCAGAAATCTTTTATACCGATCATTCGATGAAAAATGTGTGCATAAACGAAAATCAATTTAATACTACAATATCTTAAAAATAACTAAAAAATTATCGCTCCCGGACTCACTATTGTGACCGATGATCAATTTCAATCCTAATTTACATCTAACATTTCAAGTTAATCTTGTTTTCAAATATCACATCATGAAAAACCGTTAAAATGAATTTAAAACAAAGATTTTCAAGAAAAACATTAAATTTATCCCATATGTTACTATTTAACATCTCCTAGGATCGGTATCTTAAAAAATTTTACCTCAAATTTATGATCAGTAACCTGAAAACCCTCAATATACTTTTTATAATGCTTGCTAATTGTTTTGAAGTGATAGAATCGAATTTCAATTCATTTCGAATCAAATTTAGCATAAATTTTGGCTTTTTAGTTTTAGTAGTTTTAACTTACTGTGAGGGGTTGAAAAATAGTTACAAATATATTCAATTCATAGTTTTCGATATATTTTTTCTCGTAGAATTCAATTCTGTAGTTAAAATAATCGTATTTTTACTCTTTTTAATTTTTAATTTCGAAAAACCCTCAAAAATCTTCAAAAAATGAGATTTTTCGTCATAAATCTCGAAATATGCGAGAAAGCCTTTTTTTTATTACAGATTCCAATTCAGCGTCGAAATATACATAAGAAAAAGTATGTCTAATCAAAAGTACAGCCATCTTTTTTTTGTGGGCCTGTGTTATGATCTTTAAAATTGAGTTCAAGAACAAATTCAAGTCACCATGTCACACTTCCCTAACCATATGACTTCCCTCTAAACCCTACAACTTTTGTAATGATTATATTTCCCTTTTCTGCCGTTGCAGAAAAGTTATTCAAGTGAGAGTGTGTGCATTTGAAATGGGTAAGTCTACATATCACTTTTCGTCAGTGGTGATATTCAAGTACTTGTAACTTTTTAGAAAAGCATCGTAACGTAAAAGGTTTTTCTTAATAAATTTTAAGTTTTTTCAAGATTTCTCGACCTATATCGGATTTATTTACTTATCACCAGAATTTTGAAAATACAAATAATTAAACAAATTATAATAACTTTGCAAAATTGACACTTTTTAAAGTAGTATAAAAAATAGAAAAAATAACTTCAAAAATTTTCGAAACCTATGAAAAGTAAGTATTTTACCTCTGATTACATTTATTTTTTTTTATTTTTATTCTGTGATCAATAGCATTGAAGATATTCTTGTTTAAAGAATGGCTTTACTTCTACAAAATTTTACGAAGTATTAGAAATATAATTCAGATCAAAATTGTATGGTTCAAACAGGATCAACTGGCAATAACCTTCAATTTGACTTTAAACTTGATTTTTTAAGTTATTTCAAGGTTAGCCATGCTTTCTTATAATAATGCTTATAATAATCCTTATCTTGAACCTCGAATGTAGAAATAATGTAGAAAAGTCCAGAAAGATTACATCAAAGTCATGTAAAGTTCAAACTTAGTTTCTTTTCTTTTTACCAAGTGATCCGTCAGTGGTAGGATACAGCGAAAAATGTTTCAAACATTTGCTAAACTTCGTTGACTTCCTGTAATCTTAAAATTTATTTTCACAATGATTTCAAGTTCAACTTTATTTTTTTCAATATGAACTTTATTTTTTATCCCAATTTCAAATAAGCGGGAATTTATAGAGATGAATTTTCATGCTATGATCAAATTCATTTCTTCTATATTGTTCTAGCGTGTATTGAGCTATTTGTTAGTTCACACTAACTTAAGCTACCAAAGAGCCTGACTCATAATAACCGATTAACTCAGTAATAAGAGAACTTATCACTTACGCAATGTAATAGCCTTACCTACAACTCTTCAAATTCACGTTCCTGACAGAGCCGCCATAACAAACTCATAATTCCAACAAACTGAGAGATACATTTCAGAAATGTGTTAGAAATTTTATGATAGTAGTATAGCAATGTACGATATCTGTCCTAAAAGTATTCTATTTCTTGACGCTTGATT